AATCCACGCGTTTTACTGCGGTGTCCAAATATATCACCATCCTCATTTCACTTTTTCTCGTCAATTCAACCCATTCTAAAAGATAGCATGAGATACGAACATCGTGTAGCAGCATAGCAGGTACTAGTTAGGAAGAAGTTACCGAACATGCAGGTGAATACATATGTGGGACATGGACCACTCTGTTAGGTTTGCCTCGAGGATAAATAGTTCTAAGGTAGAGTGCTAAATCCAAATTGGGGTGGATGGTGAAATCTACAAATATATGGTAAGGTGATATGAGGTATGCAGTTGTAACCAGAGAGTTTAAATGAGTATTCCCCATAGTCAGTATGCAAATATGGCAGATAGTGTAGAACCTTCAGGCAGACTACTTAAATTAAACACCAAAAGTGCATGTGTGGCTTGATGTACTCTCATTGTAATTGTAATCATATCTATTCATTTAATAAAATATTCTCAAGCCAAAGAGGCCACCTTAATACCAAAAAAAAAAAGGCAGAATTGTCAAAAAAAAAAAATTTTTTTTAATACATTATATATTTATTTATACAATATATTATAAATAAATATAATAGAAAATTAATTAATTTGTAAATATAAACTACATATAGCTATACTATTAAATAATTTTTTTATAAAAATAAATTTTATAATTATATAGATTAAGATTAAAATTAGAATAAAATTTCGAAAAATATTTTTATTTATTTTTCAACATAATAATGATTCCAAACATAGATTATTTTAATAAAATTTTAAGTAATTTTGTTACAAAACAAAAATTAATTAATAAAATTTTAAGTTATTATAGACATTATAAATATTAGCTATGGCTACAATAAAGTATATTAATTCATAAAAATTATATATATTTATATAAATTAACAATAAATTATAGGAATTGCTATTTCCACCCCCATTTTTGCTAATGCCACCCCCAGAAATTAAAAAGTGCTTCAAAATAAATATTTTTATTAAGTAAACCTTCTTTTAATCTTAATAAAAGTTGTTCATTAGGCCTTTCTGGTTCTAATAGTAGTAAAACTATCATATTCAGACCAGTAGTTCTTAAGATATATATATCCGAAGTTAATTTACTTTAAAAAAAAAAACTATTGGTTCGATTTTAATGATTTTACTACTATTAGAACCAGAAAGGCCTGATGAACAACTTTTATTAAGATCAAAAGAAGGATTTCTTAATAACAATACCTCTTCCGAAGCATTTTTTAAAATTTGGGGTGGCATTAGCAAAAATGGGGGTGGAAATAGCAATTCCCTAAATTATTTAATACTCTTTAACAGCTTTAGATTTTAAATTAATTTTTTAAAAATATTTATAATAAATTCAAATTTTAGCATCAACAATTAATTTTAATACAAAAAGCATATATATATAAAAGTCAATTCGACTAATATATTTAATATTTTTATTTACACGTTTTGCAAAATTTTATTTAAAACGTAATTAAAATCATTTGCAAAATCCATTATGTTTACAAATATTTAAGTCTATTACCAGCTTGAATAAAACTTTCATTTGAAGAATATACATAAATTTTTCCAGTAGAAACTCCAACAGTCATAAGACTAAGATCTAAAAAATAACAAAAACAGTTGAATTGTTAAGAATTATTTCAATCCATAAACAAATATTAAGCTTAAATATACCTGGTGATAATCTAACAGAAGTAACAGGACTATCATGCTCTGTAAACTGATAAACTAAAGGATTTTGTTTTCCACATTTATTTACATCCCAAATTCTCACACAATTATCATTACCCCCGCTTATAAGCAAGCTGCTACCTGGAATCCAATGTAATGACATTATTCCATCATGAAGAAGACCATCATTTGGATCTTAAGTTTACAAATAGAAGCAAATAATTTATATAAAATATTATAAAAAAAGTAAACAAAAATAAATAAAATTTTTAGATTACCCTCATGCTTAAATGCATATAGTAACATATTCATTTTTCTTGGATCAAATACATAGACAGTATTGGATATTCCACCAAGAGCTATATATTTATCATCATGTGATATTGATATCACATTTGCATCTCTCTCTTGAGTTGTACAGTATACCTTTGAGCCGCATTGTAAATTCCAGATCCACATGCGCCCATCACCTTCTTCGTTATCAACGCCAGTAGTTCCGCAAGCGACCCATTTTCCTACAAAATAAAAAGCAATTATTGGTAACTTGACATCATGCAAACCAATGCTCATATTAACTTAATATATTTATAATCTCATGTTGTATAATATAGAATGATATATTATGTCACAGTTAAATTATTAATAGGATAAAAACAATTGTATTTCATACAACTAAATACGTACAAATTGTCATTTTAATAGAAATTCGTACTTAGTAAATACTAAACTTACCATAATGGGACATATCTAAACAACTAATGCCGCTTGAAAAATAACATTTCATATAGGATTCCTTTTTTCTCGTATTAATGTCCCAAACCTTAACAACACCTTGTTTGTCACCTGAAAGACCATTGTGTCCAACAATGAGTAAATTCTCCGGTCCGAATAAAACATCACTTCCAGCCCTGCAACACTTTTCTTCTTGGAATCCTTGAGAAGATAAAATAAACTTATACTGATCTTTTCTTATAGTATGGACTTGAACTAAACTATAAATTAGAAGATTAATGAATAATTTCATGTCGAATACTTTAAAATTAATATATAAATTTAAAATAAATACCCGGAGTCTTCGCAAGAAGCAAGTTGGTATACGGAACCGTTTTTTGGCTTTTGACTGACCGCTAGTCGATTTATTTGTGACTGACATACTGGGTTCGTATTTTAATATTAATTTATAAATTAAATCATATAATTGAGTTTGCAATCATATCGTTACCTTTCGTATCATAGGGTTTCTTAAAATTCCTAGTTTCATCTATTTGCCAAATCTGAAAAAAAAAAGCTCACATGTAAGAAAGAGAAATATTGATCTCAAAAAGCTTAACAAAATCTCGATAAATACCTTGATAGTAGCATCAGTAGATGCGGAGAAAATAAATTTCCCGTCAGGCGAAAATTTAACATCTGTAACTGATGTCCATAGATCTTAATAAAAAAAAGTTAATTAGAATATAATTTACGATAAACATGAAAGAAAAGAAGTTTAAACATCCTACCAGTTTTCGATTTTAAATCCGGTGCGGCATGTCCATAAAGATTATATGCTTCTCCTAGATATTATGTTATAATTTGGAAGTTGTATCATGTCTAAATTAGTTCAAAAAAAAGCGTAATTAAAATATTTTACCCCGTGCGATGTCAAGGAACTGCAAGTTGCCCGGTTGATTATAACGCGGATCTCGCGAAGCAATGTATGCAACAGCAAGGATTGGACTATTTTCATAAATTTTGTTAATTATGATAGAAATGACAAAATGCATTAACGAAATGAAGGTATAATTACGATTGTGGATTACTGCAATTCAAAGCTGTTTCATTAACATCACCACTACCACATTTAAAGTTGAACGACTTCAATTTTTTAAACTTATTTATTATTCCTATTTCAGGAGACAACTAATGACAAGAAAATTAGATTATCGTTTGTTCATTGAACATTGTTTCAGTTCGGCATATAGAATGATTAAATATACCACTTCAGCTGTACTTGAATTAGTTACCGTACTAACAAGTTCTGTATCTTTATCTGAAACTATATCGTGCTTTGATAAATAAGTAAGCAATTCTATTGTCTGGTCTAGAACCTTAGGAGGATCGATTTTTTGTTCCTAGTTTAGAAATTACATAGTAAATAAAATCATTTTCCTAAAATAACGAAATCGAAACGAACAATTAATCAATACCAAAATGCGACCATTATTATCATCATCTATTGCTTTTTGTATTTTAACATCTCTCATTTTTAATACGGATGCTTTCTCTAATTCTTTTTAAATAAGAAATTAATGAATTAATGAGTGAATATTATCAAAACGATTGTTTATAATAGAATGTACCTTTCTCCTTGGCTAATTTAATATAAAGCTACGAATTAAGATGCCGACATAATAAGATTAAGCCACAAAATAGTAAAACATTGTATCTTAAACTAAGCTATACCTCATTTTTTCCAGCGTCTAAAATTCGGAATGAGTCATATTTCTTAGACATTTTTGGTGCTGAGATCATATAACAAGGTTGTATATCTTCTTTTAGTTGTATTCCGGTATTCGATAGATTGTTTGATTTTTGAGCAGTAACAGAGACACCTGAAGTTGATGGTCGATCGGTAGTACATGTTGTTTCATCATCGCTTAAAATAATTACCACTGGATCGGACTTGTCTCCTGTATCATTTTCGTTATCTTCATCGTTATCTTCATCGCTATCTAACAACACAATGTGTCCGGGCTTTTCTTCTCTCCATTTATTACGATTAGGGGATTCAAACTTTCCAGGGGATATCTCCTGACATGAAGGTTTTGCTCGTTTATATGAAGTCTGAGCTATACTGTCAGAGGAACGTTTACTAGGAATAACTTCGGTACGATAAATGGATGTCTTTGAACTTGAAGATTGAGTAATGCTAACGCCTTTTTGACCATCTGAATGTGCAGGTATTTTTTCAGGGCTCTGTGATTGCTTACATGAAGAAGTAATAACGACCTTTTTTTCGTCCAATAAAGGCCTATTATAATTAGTAATAACGTCCTTCATTAACAAAGGGTTCTCAACGACCAAATCCGAATCTTTATATTAAATTACACGCAGATTTTGTTAGAATAACTGACAATTACACAATCTGATCGATCAATTTTAAAACCTACACAGACTTCGTACCTTCCACCTCCGAACTAATCAATTTTTTAACCACTTGTTCATGTGGCATACGCGTCAGATTTTCATGTGATTTACTAGCATTTATATTCGTGGTGTCAAATGAAGAAGTACCAATATGTGTATGAATTAAATCCTGTACTAATGTACCAAGTTGTTCCGGATTATTTCCCGTATGGGAATTAGCGCCATTCATAGAATTAATTAATACGTAAGCCTTATTTATACATTCAGCTGATAATGTCGACAATTTTGAACCTCTGAGCTCCTGAGGTAGCTCAAAATTAGATCCGTTACGATTAATTTGGTCTATAAATCCATTTAATTTTTTTAGGTTCTTTTCCCATTTCGAAAAATATTTTGCATCTCTAGCAGGATCCCTCGTATCGCCGATATATAATTGGAAAATCATTAGCAAGTTTCGTAGTTGGTTCTTTGCTCTGATACAACTACAAAATTGAACAAGAATATGTATAAAAATTGACTTTGAAGAGGAGAGTAAAGATAAATGTATATTAAATCCATACAATGATCTCATGTCCATTGGACCCGTAGAATTATATTGACTCCTTATAACGTCCATGTTTATATCGCACAAAGTTTCGCTTTCGTTCTTTTGTTGATTCAAACTGTTTTTACCCTTCATTCTTAAAATTTACATAATCATATGGAAATTTTTGAAAAAAAAATTAGATTTTTTTTCAATTTTTCTCCTTAAATAAAAATTGATCACAAACGTACCTGAATTTTGAATCGTTGTTGCGGAGTTTGATTTATTACTCGGAAGTAAATTATTGTTGATTTCTATTTGTAGAATATTTGTATAAATTGCCTTGTAATTTTAAAGAAACGAAATATGAATTAACATTACTAATAGATTCGCGATAAATGCTTATTTATATTACAACGATAAAATAGTTGTAAATATCAATGCTCCCGGAACGTGCTACTTATAAATGATCTGTGTATGATGAACGTAGACCGTCACACTACATAATCCACGCGTTTTACTGCGGTGTCCAAATATATCACCATCCTCATTTCACTTTTTCTCGTCAATTCAACCCATTCTTGAATGATAGCATGGAACCCGCAAAAAGGTCAAATCAAACACTCAAATAAAAATTTTAAATAAAATAATGATGAAAGTAAGTCAAATCAAAAGTTTAGTACTGGGTGTTTGAAACGTTTGGATGTGGTTTCGAAAGACAAGTGATTTTTTGATCAGTTATTTTATAATTTAATACTACAGTTAAATATCTATAGGGGAAAGGTGGTATTGGAACATTTTAGCATTATCTTATCTTTATATATATCACTTAATTTTTTGACTTTATTACAGCATGCATAATTAATTTATTTACAAAAACAAGAATAATTAGCTACATATATAGTATACAATTTTAATTTTAATTATTGTTTATATTGTTTATTTAGGGGTTTCGTCTAATTGGATTACTTACTATATACATAGTAGGTTAGGCCTATATGTTTAAGCATCTTGTAGCTTATTCTGGAGGGCCCACAGGCTTTATTGTTAGGTAGTTAACAGAGAGTAGAGAGAATTTCTTCCTAGGTTATAATAAAGAGTGCTTCTTGATACCAGTCTTGTTGGATATGAGGTTGAGAGGTATATTCTGTTTGCTATTTTGTATTAAATAAGATCTCATTAATTAGACAGATAGTGGTCCAGTTGTTGAAATATTGCTGAATATATAATTTGATAATAGTAAGGTCTGTAATAATATCTTGGTTAAGTTTGATATTGTCAAACTTAACAGGGTCTTTGTGCCAATTCAGAATACTGTTAAGCATTGAGGTTAGGTTGGTTTGAAGCTTGGTGTATCTTTTGAAGATTGCTTCTGTGATTTGGTAATGTGTTTGTCTTATATTTTTTAAATTGCATGAGTAATATAGCTTCTTCTATTCAGTATTGGCTTTGGTTATCCAGTTAGTATTAATTGTAAAAAGAGATATCTCTAGATTTTATAGTCTGTTGAGGTTTACTATTGTATTATTTAGATAGGCTAAGATTTGTTGGTTGGCCTTAGCTTGGTGTTTTATAACTCTAATTATATTTTTAAGCTTTTTAAGACTATGATAAAGCTAGATAGCTTTTGGTAAAAATGTGTAATAAAAGTTATAAACTGTGAAATTTTTATTAAAAATATGCTGGAGTGTTGCAATAATAAGGCTAGTTTAGATTTTATGCTATATAGTTTCTAAAAACTCTAATGTTGTAGGTGTAAGAGGTATATTGTAATGCTGCAAGTTTGTACTAACTTGGTTTGCAAAGTTTTTCACTTTTCTAAATTCATTGTTTTGTACTCAAAAACTCTTCTTTAGGTATAGGTTTTGCCTTTGTTGTTCAGTAGTTATGTAGGAGAAGAGCCAGCATGAAATTAAAATTTTGTAATTACTTAGAATACTAGTATTAGAATTATTTGTATTATATTTTGTAAGATATTGAAGTATTGGTTAATATGCTTAGATGAAATTGATTTTACTACTCAGGTTGGCTTTATGCTATATGTATTGTTATAGAATAGATTTTAGTATTAGTTTTGTAAATATATAAATATTAGTTCAAATTATTATTCTATTTTATTATTATTATTATATTATCTTTAGCTATATTTAGTAGAA